GGATGTTCGTGCCTGTCTGTCCTTTAGTGACCATTAAAACCCGTTTACCCGTCTATCCGGCTGATCTTGCCTGCTTCCCAGCTCGCCTGCCTGCCGAACGTGACATATTCACATTCCAAAATGATTTAAATATGAAATGGACCTGCTGGTCTAATGAGTAAGGATGGGTTAGGATACTCAGATACATTCACTAAAGGGTAGAACATGGACATTTAAAGATTAACTATGACAATATGAAAGATAACTATATATTTCTGTATCTTTAATAATGTCCTACCACCCTAAACATGGAGGGGAGCAGATATTTATAGACTGTTTATGTCTATAATAATGTCCTACCACCCTTAACATAGAGGGGAGCAGATATTTATGGAGTGTTTACGTCTATAATAATGTTCTACCACCCTTAACAGAGAGGGGAACAGATATTTATGAAGTGTTTACGTCTATAATAATGTCCTACCACCCTTAAGAGAGAGGGGAGCAGATATTTATGGAGTGTTTACATCTACTGTATAATAATGTCCTACCACCCTTAAGAGAGAGGGGAGCAGATATTTATGAAGTGTTTACATCTATAATAATGTCCTACCACCCTTAACAGAGAGGGGAGCAGATATTTATGAAGTGTTTACATCTATAATAATGTCCTACCACCCTTAACAGAGAGGGGAGCAGATATTTATGAAGTGTTTGCATCTATAATAATGTCCTACTGTACCACCCTTAGAGAGGGGAGCAGATATTTATGCTGGTTGGATATTATCACATGGTAGGACAAAATAACAGATATGGTTATAAATTTCCGCTACGGGTAGGAAAATATTTTAGGTAGGAAAAAATTTCAGAACACCGGTCCCAAGCCCGGAACAATGGGGAGGGTTGGCGTCAAGAAATAGAGACTATCTTCACTGCATCACTGATGTCAAAATGTGGGAAATACAGTATGTGGTTGTATAAATAAATGCGTTAAAATAGGTTAATGATTCTGTGCTGTCTAAATTGTATAAAAAGTTAGGCTACATGACACTTGAATGGGCTATACCCGAATGCATGGATGCATTATCAGATGCTTATGTTTCCACTTTAACTTCAAGGTGGGGATTGTGACACTGTGGCCATCTCTCCCAAGATGAATCCCTGAGTAGTGAAAGAGCATATCAATTTTTTAACATGGTTACTCTCTTCCTTGTTAGCTGCTGCGCTTTATTTTACTTTTTGAAATCACACAACGTACACATATATCCTCTTGTATGTCATGTACTTTCGCATATCGTATAAATAATCGTAGCGGGCCACCAAGACCAAAAAAAGCTAGGGCCATTTTTTGGTCCTAGTCCAGCCCTGTTTGGAGCATATATATTGCGATCGATTTCCCCTCTGAATCTGGTTCCTCCTAAGGTTTCTTCCTACTAGGGAATTTTTCCTTGTCACTCTCACCTCTGCCTTGCTGTCTGGGGGCATTGGACAGGAATAATATAAAGTACTTTGAGGCAATGTAATGTGGAAATGCTCTATACAAATAAAATTGAATTGATCTGAATTGAATCCTGGATTACACTTGAAAACAAAAGATGAGAGACCTGTTTGCACTGTAATTTGTTGTAAAATTACACTTGCCAGTATACAGCAAAATATGTATGTATGATACCAAAGCCATTTTCCATGGCATTTTGTCACACTGTTTTTAGTGCTACTGGAAATGTGGTATCTTGTTAAATTTTGGATTAAAAAATTAATGAACACAATGGCATAAGAATTTTAGTTGCCTTTAAAATGGTCCAACAGCGCTTCAAGTTCTAAAAAGAATTAATGATCAATTTCAGTGTTGTAAGAGTGATCCGTAGAGATATTAATGAAAGAAATTGCCAGTTTTTTTTTGCAGACATGAATAAGTAACTTTATTGACATTTTTTTTGCAGAAGGACAATTCACAAGAAAGTCATATTATATGGTTTCTCGTTACTTTGTCTCATGTTGTTTTCATCCTTCATTCGGCCTCCTTGCCCTTAAAAGAAATGACAATCAGTTAGAATGCTTTCAATTCTTTATATTTGCTTTCACAGTTATAGTAACACAGTTTATTATGCAGTAAAAGTTAAAAATCTCTGGTAAATACCTCTCTAATATATTCAGTATTATAATGATATAGAGTAGGTGGAGTTAGCACAGTCCATGAGCACTGTAACCTCCCGCCTCCAGGGTTTAAATCCCTCCCCTCACTGTGTGTATGAAGTTTATAGGTCCTCCCAGTGTCTGTGTGGGTCCAGTCATTTGGTGGATTGATGTCTCTAAATTGCTGATAGTCAGTGTGGCAGACGGATATCCATCCGGGACGTACATTGCCTTTTACCTGACATCATTAACCATTGGGTGCAGTGTGATAGGCATGACTGGAACTTATTATACCTTTCCAGCTTCACGGCTCTTGGCTCTCAGCTTGTTGACCTGAGACTCAGCGATGTCGGCACGCTCCTGGGCTTCCTCCATCTCATGCTGCACCTTCCTGAACCTGGACAGGTGAGTGTTGGCCTGCTCCTCCTGTGCAGCAATCAAAGACCTCATCAGTGATTCAGCTTTCCCTTTTAATATAATTATACAAATTTAAGCTTTTTATCTTTTGAGACAATCTGGATAAGAAAAAACTAACAAGCTGAAGATAAAATAAATTCTACTCTTTAAAGACTCAAAATATAAAACATTTTAGAGATAATGTCTCGGTTCAAGATGCAGGTCACACAGTCATAATATTTCATCAGATGATCAGTGTTGTGTCGGACGGGACGAAGGGCAAAAACAAGATGGGTTTATTATAAATCAATAGACAGGAAATCACAGGGAAGGTCAAAACTGTTGACTCACAACTAAACTAACAGAAATGGCAACGTCAATGTCAGAACTGGGGAGTACAGGACTGGGAGGCACTTATAACAGGGACTAACGAGGGAGCACAATGAGAGGCAGCTGTAATGAATCACAGAAGGAAAAAATGAGAGGTACAGTAAGATAAATGCGGAATTGGCGTGACTGAAAACAGAAGGATCGGCTTGGCAGGACATGAATATGATCAGAATTCAGCTTTTGTGGAAATCATATTATGGCTCAGCTCTGGAATTAGGAAATTAGCATCTTTTAATAGAAAATGATACTTACAGCTTCCTCAGCCTGTCTCTTGTAGGACTTCACTTTTAGTTGCAGCTTGTCCACCAGATCCTGCAGTCTGGTCACATTCTTCTTGTCCTCCTCAGTCTACAGTAAGTATAGATTATTAGATACCAGCAGTCTTCACTGTAATTTTTACCATGTTTCTGTAAAGATTAATATAAATATTTATATTGAAAATATACATTTTGAAAAATCTACCTGGTACGTAAGCTCCTTGACCCTCCTCTCATATTTTCGGACACCTTTAACAGCATCAGCTCCACGTCTCTGTTCAGCTTCAACCTCAGATTCCAGCTCGCGTACCTTAAATGTAAAAAATTTGATTTTTTTTTCCTGTGACTTTCTCAAATATTTGTCAAATGTTAAGGCAGTAATATGCTAATAATGTACAAAATATGGACAACGCAAGTCCATCCATTTCAGTGTCCCTTTAAAGTTACCAAATGATAAGAGATT